CTATGCTGATATAGCCAGGGAGTTAGTTGGCTGACTGAGGTTTGGCCAAAGAAATGATCTACCCTTTGATTTGAATTTTGATCTAGCAACATGAGGTTAGAAGTAACAGCTGACACTTACTCGTATTGACTGAGCAGCATCAAAGCAAACTATTACTGTCTTTCCAGCTTTCTACCCCTCCAGTACTACCTCAAACCCTGCCTGTTTCCAAGATTGCTTTCCAGTCCTCCCTTCAATTACAGAAGCTTTCAATATCTTACGAATAAATTACTTTCTCTTAAGTTAGCCAAATTTGGTTTCTGTCACTTACAGTCAGAAAATTCTAATAGTAGTGTTATATAGATACTATTATTGCTGGGTTAAATCTACCATAGGAATTTTGTAAGATTTATTTTCCTCTTCAAGCAATTTTATTTAGTAAAGTTACCTAATTTGGGTTAAGGCCTGACAATTATATTAGCCTTCTTATTTATGTGACCTCATTAAAAATTCTATGGATTAAACATATTTACAAATCAGGAAAGGCAAGGTAGTAGCTTTTTCCAGATTATGAAGGCAATTTTTCCTGTCAGTACTTTGCCTTTTCATGGAATTTTTTTAGAAGCATAAGTGCCCCTATATAGTCATTCCTGAGTCGGCTGGCGATATTTGTTAGAGCTTTGTGAAAGCAATGCTGATCATGGTACTACAATGTTGAGGGTTTACTTCCATTTCTTTGAGTGGTTAGTGGTTTAAAGTTTTTTTTTTTTCTTTTCTTTAATGGAAAATCACTCAGTGAATTGTGGAAAAGCGATTATTTATCTGAGTCATATTTTTATGGTAACTGTTTTTCACCTCCCTGCATTTTTAGAACTGTTTTCTTTAAAAAGCATATTCTATTAATATTTATAATTAGATATCACACAAAGCAGATGCTAAATCTTATGCTATAACTTTATGGGTACAATTACATAAAGAAGATTATATACTCTTTGGCATGATGTTCTCTCTGGGAGCTGTAGCACAAAGGACATTCTCCATGAAGATGACCATTCTTTTTTGAGTGGAGGGAAACAGGAAGACAGTGGTTAATTAACCATGATTATTTTAACTATATCATCCAGAACATTTAGTATTTGAGTGGGTAGAGAAGGAGTTCAATGAATACTTGATTGACTTTCTTTTCTTTGATCCACATCTCAGTTCACCTATTCACACCATATATCTCTTATTACTTTAAAGCCACATGGATTCTTCCTATTTTGGGAGTACCTCTAAGTAGAGGTGAAGACCCCAGCTTATGTGAAGGAGCCTGGCTTCCAGATACCCTTGGAGGGAGTGTGGTGAGTTTACAAAGGTCAGAGGACAAGAGAAAAAGGGATTCATTTCTCTGATTACCTTTAGGCTAATACCAAGAGGAACTGGTGGACTAAATTGTGTAATCTAATCCACACATCCTTCCAAGATTTGTCATTGCATAGATGGGGAAACTGAGGATCTGAAGAATAACTAGTTGACAGTAATGGCACCGAATTTGAACGTCGGTCCTTGTGAGACCAGACTCTTTTCACTACTCTGTCTCCTCTGTGGCAATTACTTCTTCAAAAATGCAACTATGGACCGTGAGAATGAAGAGAAGACAGCAAACCTTCTGCTCATCAACATGATCTCCTGTGATAGAAAGTACTATGAGCTCCTAATGCCCTCCCTTAAAAAGGCAAGGTTGGGAACAACGGCTGTCAAGAGGGGAGGGGAAGGTTTAATTCTCCCGAGACGCTGCGCAAGGGAACGGATGGGGCACGCCCACTAACGGGTGGCCGCCTCTAGGTTCCTTACCTGGGATGTAGGGCTTTCCCCTCCGTCCGGTGTGAGAGCTCTTGCGAGCGGAACCCGCAGGCCAGGAGCACGCTCTGGGGTACGCCGGCGCCTCCCCGCGGCCTCGGCGCACGTGCCTGGGCTGGGGCCAGGGCTAGTGGCTGCGCCGTAGTAGCTGGGGCGGGGGAGAGAGGCTGGCTCCCCGCCGCCGCCCGCGCCCCATGAGGCTGGCTCCCGGCCGCGGCCGCCGCCCACCCGCCGGCTCCGGTGGTTGGGCGGAGGAAGCGCGGGACTCCTCCTCTCCACCGTATTAACATGCACCCAGGGGCGGGTGACCAGCCCAGCTTCGCCGCCCCAGCCCGCCGCGTCCGGGCTCTCAGTCTCCTCGCCAGAGGGGAGCGAAGCGCTCCGGGCCCCGCAATCCCCAGGACACGGCCTCTTCGACACCTTCGGCCCCGGCAAATCGGTAGCAGCAGCGGCGGGAGCGGCCGCAGCCGCCTTGGATCTTCTCTTTAGTCCTTCTCCTCACCCCACTGAGAGCCTGTCCCGACAGCGAGGACACCTCTTTCATCCTACCGCTGAGGCTCGTGGGACCGACGGACGGACGCAGAGACGGAGGGTCGGACTGCGGGTAGCGGCAAGGTAACGCCGGGCTGCGCCGCAGGGCTGGGGCTTGCGCGCGTGGCTGTGACCACTGGAGTCTGGGTCGCTGCCACCGCCGCTGTCGCGGCGCGCTAGGTGGTTCTTGGCCGCCGCGCGGTCGCGGCGTCTCTTGTCAGTGGAGAAACTGTAGGCTAGGCTCCTGGCCGCCCTCCTGCGGGACCCCTTCACTCTCGCCTTCCGCCGCCTGGGGCGCACTCGGGGACGCGGCCCCTTTAGGATCTCAGGAACCCCCGGGCCGACGCGCCCCTTTCCAGGCGTGCAGTCCTCATCGCTCTTCCCTGGGTCCTCGAGAGGGGGTAGATTTCTAATTGCGACAGGGTTCTGGAAGGGGGAGATGAGAACACCAGTCCCAGTCACCTCCACCGGCCAAATTCATACCTCCTCCCACCCCCAACCGCGGATGCACCTTGCAGGGGAGGAAGGGGGCTGCTCAGTGCAGGGGGTGTCTCGACCGACTCCTGGGTCGTTTCCAAAGCAAGTTGTTGCACTTGCTTTTTAGGTGACATTTTGGCATTGGTTGTGGAGAAAGCCTCCTCCGTGTGTGTGTGTGCGCGCGTGTGTGTATGTGTGTGTGCGCGCGCGCGCGCGCACTTCGTAAGAGAAAAAGCCAGAGAAACAGGCACAAAGAGAGACGGGCACAGGGAGAAACGGAGACACAGCAAGAGAGAGACACACACAGAGAACGGAGTCTAAGGGGGAGGTCACTGTAGAGTTGTCCCTGCCCGCGGCCGAGGCCATTTCCCGGCGAATTGCATGGCAAGCGTTGAGACCCGGTATTCAGCGACTTGAATGAGAGGGACTGGAGCCGAGACCAAACAGAAACCTCTCCTCTGGGCTGGGAGGGATAACAAATTGCACTTTCATTGAGGGTCGGCTGCAGCTGCGGGAGGGACCTTCCGAGGGCCGCGCGGGGATGAAGCCCCTGCATTCAGGACTTGGGCTGCTGCGCTTTTTGCGCAAGGCGAGATATCTCTGCTTGGCCGGGTGGCTCTGGGAGGCCGTGGGAAGGGGCAGCCCGCCACTCCAGTGCCCAAGACAGAGTGCTGATGCCTGAGCGTCGTTCCAGCCCTTGACTCCCGGGCTAGCATCCCTCCTGGCCAATAATGCTGAGGAATTTTTTTTTTTTTTTCGTCTGAGAAGCAGAGGGCATGCGGAGGGGAAGGGACTGAGGTGGCGAGACAGCCGGGACAGGGACGCCAGTGAGTGAGATGTTATTTCTTTTGTGGACTCAGACGAGACTGTACACTCCTGACACAGTGAGCCTGGCTCTAGTGCGTGAGAGATCGATGCTCTCTGTCTCCGCGGCATAGCACGTGAAGTTATGGAATTACAAGATGAAAGACATATAATAAAAGTAACAATTAAAGACAGATCTTTCTTTAGCTTTGAGAGTCTTCACGAATGGCTTTGTAAAGTGCTGATGGAGCAATCTGGATTGCAATCAGACCCTGGGATGAGGAATGTTTAGAACTAAGAAAGTGATTTTTGGACTGAATGCGAACACTTTGTAAATTATTTTTACCAAGGCGGAGCTGACTGTCTTTTGACTGTTATTTATAGCAGAATTTCAGTCACAGGAAACAACTTTCACTGGCCTAATTTTGCTTATATAGCAATAATTCTCATTCTAACTTGAATGAAAATGACATGAGGGCAAGTTATGTTATAAATACCCTAATTTATCTAATATCAAAGGATAAAGTTTTCTTTGCTTAAATTTTTAAAAAGGAAATTCAGAGCCATAAAGAAAATTTGAATATATCTATGCAAAATACATGAAATTTAAATGTTTAGGTTATAAAAGCTACACTTGTTTAAGAAAATTCATATTCTGTCATGAAATAGGGAAGTTCATAGAAATCTGGTGTCAATTATCTTGTTATTAATTTCCTTACGATTTATTAGTTCAGTTTAAAGTTGCTATAGGGAAGTCACTCCTTGAAATATTCCTAGTTTCAGATCTAAAATTCTATGACTTTCAAAAAAATTAACTCATTTAAGAGAAGTATTACTTTATATGAGAAAAAAAATTGAGTGCATTTGCAAATACAATATATTTTTAAAACATACATTTCTCCATTTTTCTATGTATTTCTATTCTAAGATTAGTTTGCCAAATAAAATGTTTTATCTCAAAAATTATAGGCCATATAAATCTTGCCAAACTGAACTTGTTAACAGATTCTTTTAAAAAATTACAAAGTAATTTTCTGACAACTCTTCAAATCACACAGGAACAATTGTGTTTTGGGAGGAATACTGAATATATCAGTTTTCCTTATGGGAAATTTTTATGGTTTAGCATCTTTAATTTCGCCTTCAATATAAACTTTGCCCTGCCAGAACAAAAACCTTGATAAAACATATCAGTGATTATTAAAATCAAGACCTTTCTCTCAAATATTATGGAGCCCATATAGGGAAATTGCCTAAAACTAAGTGCTGTTCTACTTTTAAATTCTTCTAAGCTCAAGTGTCCTATTGAATCACACTCGGAAATACAGATTACATCTATGTTGATTTAACTTGATTAAATATGTGTGCCTTTATTCTATATAGCCACCTAAACTGATTTTTTAAAATGTAATATTAAAATTGGGCAGAGGGAAACTGAAGTTTTACTAACTACTCATTTAGAGATAAGTGTAGCATAGTAGTAGTTTCAGCTACAACTCAATTGAGACATGTGTCACATGCTTTGAATAGCAACTTCTTCTCTAAACAAAGAATTCAGCATTCTGATTTTTATTTTCTATTTCAAATGCAGAAAAAATAGTAAAATCCTATCTACGTGTACATGTTTATAGGGACATTTCTAAGATAGACTCAAATCCACATTACAGTGTCTTCTTGGTCATTCCCACAAATTGTTCTGCCCTTTATCAGAGCAACTCTGCTCCATGCAGAAGGATTTGTTTCTTCTTAGGAAGTATTCAGTTGGAAGACTTTTATGAAGATATCATTTTTATAGAAACCACACTTGCCTCTTCTTGCTTAATTTAAGGAAATGATGTATTCGTAAATTCTTTTCTTTCTTTTCTCTTTTCCTTTGGTAATTATTTTCTCCTGCTAAAGGAACGCCATTAAAGCAGGAAGACTGAAAGGGCTTTTGAAAAATCTAAATGCTTTTTCTAATCCTCACCTCCCACACTAACAGTCTATGCCTTATGTCTGTGTTATGTTGTTCTCTTTGTACATTTTTATTTTAAAGAAACACAATCACAAGAAGGCCCGTTTCCAGCGTCCTAAAAATTTTTGTGCTGTTGAGACACTTGGAGGTTCAAAAGCTTTCCATGTCTTGGGCTGTCTCTTTTATTTCTAGAAGATCCTAAAGGTTTGAAATTCTTTTTTTAAAAAAGGAATAATTTTAATGGCCCTTAAAGTATTTTTTTTTAACATGGTAATTTGCAGCCTGAGTCCTCTTTTTGCCCTATAGAGGTGATTTTCTCTAGATGTGTGGTCTATCAGGAATTGCCAAAGATGTTGTTCCCAGGATGGTCAAACATTTTTCTACCACAAAGGAGGATTTAGAGCTAATCTTCAGCCATTCACTTTAATTTGTTAAAACATCCACTGACAACTCATTGTACAAGATATCAGGTACCAGCTCCTTTCCTATTTGGCTTATGCAAAAAATATATATAACATATATATTATATATAATATGTTAATATATAATATTAACATGTTAATATATAATATTATATGTAACACATATATATTATTATATGTTATATATTCATATTAACAATATATATGTGCTACTTATTTTTTGTAACTCTGCAATACACAAATATGCAGAGCAAAACGCGGTTGGGAACAGGAAAAATGGGATGGGGCTAAAAAGTTAAAAAGGCTAATGACTTCCCTTTGAGGTTTTTTCTTCCTTACTCTGATTCTACAGAGGTTTTTATTGCATATGAGATGTGTTGACCCATGAATTTTACAGCCTTCTTTCTAGGAGATGGTAGGGACCAGACAACTGGTGTGCCAGTTGAGATAGTAGAGGTTTTATTTTTCTTTTCTTTTCCTTTTTTTTTTTTTTTTTGGAGATTTTTCTCTGCCTTTATTGACTTAAGATTTCTCCTGGTTGGTGGTTATGTTCTTCTTCCTGTAGGAGGAGCTGATGATTACTGAGTAACAAGTAACATTCTACTTCAGAAGACCAGCTCACACTCAGGAAGCCCTCTGTATATATAGCCACAGATCTTTTGCCCAGATTCTTGGGCCTTTTCTTGGGTAGATGAGAACCAACATAGTTGGGTTATGATTACCCCGTGTGGGGTTGTTGTGAACTAGATATCAGTGTTCTGAATCTGCTCTAAAGATGCAAACTCACCATCCTCCTGGTAATTGCCCAAAAGTAAACTGTTTGTTTTCATATTCACTTATCATAGTTTGCTCCTCTGTCGTCATTGACAATTTTTATGACTCTTCTCAATGTTTTCTTATCAGATTTGTAAGAAACAAGAGAAAAGCAAGCATGAAGAGTGTGATTTGGCAGTATATTAACTGCCCAACCCTGCCAGATTTTCTTAGTATTCAGCAGAGGTCTTGTTGAAGTCATGGATAAGCAGGATGATAGAAGACGATGATTTATGTTGGGACTTGCTTATCTCCCTGTCTGCACCAGGAGGGTTCAGGGACATTTTAGTGGCTCCCTCAGGTAGCTTGTGGGAAAGTCTCTCTCTCCAGACACATTTCCAGTTCTGCTGCTTTTCTCCATGACATGGTTTTGGCTAATTTGAAAACATCTGCTAGAGTAACTTGCCTTTTAATTCTACTACTGGAGAATGGTTATGAGTATATGATAGGACAGGCATTAACCCTCACCTAACCTTGTGATTATAACCTTTCCTAGGGGACCCTTTCTATCTTGGTTTCAGTTTCAGTAGAAATACAGTTTGAAGTCTATTTCTGGACTAGAAATTTCCCTGCTAGATATCACTGAGATATCTTTATAAAACACATGCTGCACT